ATGGTGAAGTGCATGTTAGAAAGTGGCTTAGTTATTCTCCTAGACTGGACAAAATATTTTGATTTTGTTGTAAACTCTTTACAACTACGAAAATGAGCCTGACAACGGGAGGCTACAATGATTGGAAAAAATTTGTCCCCAGTGTCTGGCTACACATGAAGTGTCTCCATCTCACCTCACTGCTATGGGAAACTGGACAGAACTGTTAACAAGGCTTGGGTCTGGAAGTACTATTGAACATTCATACCAAAGATTATTGGCAACTGAAACGCAGCACTGGCAGAATGTTCTTCAGCGGCTTGTAGCCATTGTTCAATATCTTGGGAAGCAGTGCTTGGCCTTCAGGGGCAGCAGTGACACGCTGTTCTCTGAAAATAATGGAAATTACTTGAAACTTGTCGAAATGATGGCAACATTTGATAGTGTGATGCAAAGCCACTTGAAAAAGATACAGAATTCAGAAATTCATCAGCATTATTTAGGAAAAGACATCCAAAATGAACTAATTGGTTTAATTTCTAAAGAAATACAGAGACGCATTCTACGGTTGCTTAAGGATGCCAAGTATTTTTCCATTATACTTGACTGCACCCCTGACATCACTCTTGTTGAACAGATGACTATGGTTTTCAGGTTTGTATCTGTTAAGCAAGGAGACTCGCCAACTGCAAATCCTGAAATACACATTGAGGAAAGATTTCTTGGTTTCCTGCCAGTTCACAACTCATCTGGAGAAGGATTAACAGAGGCAATTTTGAATGTGCTTGAAATGCTGAAGATACCACTCAGTGATATGAGAGGTCAAGGGTATGATAATGGCTCCAACATGAAGGGAAAGCATTTAGGAGTATAAAAAAAGAATCATGGACCTGAACTCACGTGCTTTCCCCCTGCAGTGCTCATTCCTTAAATCTTGTAGTAAATGATGCTGCTATGTGCTGTAGGGATGCCAGTACATTTTTTGGCATTCTTCAGAAAATATATGTTTTTTTTTTATCAGGTTCAACAAATCGATGGGATGTTCTAAAAAAGCATGTGAGTTAAGACGCTATCTGATACTAGATGGTCAAGCAGAATTGATGCTATTCGGCCATTTAGGTTCCATGTTGGAGAAGTGTATGACACCTTAATTGAAATCGGAGGTGATATGAATTTTGCTGCTCTTGCAAGAATCGAGAATTCGGGCGGCAATTTTTATTTTGCCTAGGGCGGCAAAAATCCTTGCACCGGCCCCGCGTATGGTAGCCCAGGAATAAGAATTACCCCCATGATGACATACCATTTGCAAAAGTAGACAACCCAAGGTATTGCAAACGGGTATTGTCCAGTCATTTTTAGTAGCCACTTAGTTACAAACACTGGGCAAATATTTGTTTTTTGCTTTTTTCCCACAAAAACAAATATGAATGCTAACTTTGGCCAGTGTTTGTGACTAAGTGGCTACTACAAAAGACTGGACATACCCCACTTGCAATACCTTGGGTAGTCTACTTTTGCAAATGGTATGCCATCATGGGGGTAAATCTCATTCCTGGGCTACCACACGGTATCAAAGGTAACATTACTAATCTGGCAAATTTCAATGTGAAAAAACTGAAAAATGGAAACTGTTAATGTAAACGGTTAATGGGGGCTACTGTTGTACTCGCGAGACTTTGCCGAATCCAAATATGTGCTTTTTTTGCAGTAAAAGCCAACAGTATTATGACATTTAGAGCTAAAATGTGAGGCGGAACTACAAATTATTTGTCACAAAACCTATGTGTTTGTAACAAGGGAGTTAAAAGCCCACACACACACACACATATATATATATATATATATATATATATATATATATATATATATATATATTGTAACGGCTACCCGGGTAGAGTAAGGGTATCTGCCGTTGGAGACGTCCTTTTTCCCTGTAAGCTGCTGTGGAGAAGTAAGCTGGTATAATCCCATCCACGATATCCAGAGTAAGAGTCAGGTTCAGCTGTAGCAGGAGCAGAATAATATTCCCAAATAATCCCCTTCCAAGAACGAGACAAGGCTACGTTTTGAAGGGTCAAGAAGATCTGAGGACTGGAACACCCAGCCTGCTTTTTATTGGGATCAGGTACACACAGGATACTCCCAGGGGGAGGATAAAAACACCCAATCATATACCTGGTAACACCCCCACGTCTCCTCCCCTCAGATAACATATAACATAATTAAAACGTACAACATTTTACCCCAGTTCTGGATGTTCCCCAAAAACAGGGGGTACAGCTTTAAATCCTGGGTCGCTTGATAGCTCTCATTCAGGGGACCAACATGTCCAAAAATCAGCCCATTCGGATGAATAGTTCGGGAGATACAGAGTTCCAAAGTTTTGACCGACCGCACAGACCAACTAGCCGAAAATAGTTCCATGAGTTTTGGCCTTGCGGTCGGTCTCCGTTCGCCTGGTAAAAAGGTCTGAAATTCTTGCCATCCATTCGAATCTCGGGGTTCGCCGCAATCCCCATAGATGATTGAACATAACTACCGAACGTCCGGTGATTCGGTAGTTTCCGTGCGAACTTCTGGAAGTATGGAGGACTCAGCGGTGTTCGCCTGTTTGCGTATCCGATTTTAGTTCCACGCGTCGACAGGCAAACACCGCTGTTCGCACGTAAGATGGCCGCGGCCACGTGTAAAGTCCCGAAATGGCGGCCACCTATACTTTACACAGGGAATTCATGCGAATCCATTCGAATGGTTGAAATGCACTAAATGTGACGAATTCCTGCTGATTTTGGTTAGTTCACTGGCCCAGGCATACAGCATAGTTCTGTTACATATATATATATATATATATATATATATATATATATATATTTATTTGTGGACAGGGCAATATTGCCGTAAAAGTTAGAGAACACATAAATAGTAATAAACATCATAGTTAATAACACCAGTTGATTGTGTTGTCCTGGAACCAACAATGCAGAAGGCCTGTAATAAAGAGGGCCCACCTTAGAGAGTGATATGAAAATAGGGAGTGGTGGGAAGGGCAACTCGTAAGACAAATAACAATATGTGAGAGGATTGGAGGCCCTTAAAAAGGGGACCAAAGCCCCTCCCAAAATACCAGCCCAGCCTTAAATTTGTGGTTGGGCAATATTGCCATAAGAGTTAGATAATACATAAATAGTAATTAACATCATAGTTAATAACACCAGTCGGTTGTGGTGTGCCGGAAGCGACAATGCAGTAGGCCTGTAATAAAAAGGGCAAAAAGAAGTATACCATACACAATGTATTCATTCTACAATACCTCAAGATTACTTGGATAAGTCATGAAATGCCTGATGAATCCCTTTAACCGGTTCTGGTATATAAAATGTATAAGTGGATGATTTCCAGCATCCCATTGCCTTGATGATATGTGCTGGAAAGTGATTAAGCAGATAATGGTGTCCCTATGCGGAAAAAGTGGCCTAAACAGTGAGTTAAATTAAGGGCAAGTCTTGTTAAAAGCATTCGAACGTAAAGCATAAATTTGGCAATAGTGAGTGTGGAACTGTGTAATTCTAGTATTGGTTGGTGTGGTTGTTTGTGAACAGTGCTGAAATATTTTTCCAAACCCTTAACTGGGCACCATTTGTTATAGGTAGGGTAGAGGGGTATGTCCCATCTCGCTGGTTTAGAGTGAGGAAGTGAAACAATGTAGTGATCCATAAATTTATGGATATTTAAAGTTTAAAGGTAATCCGTGGAAGTTAGATTAATAGGGGTGAACTCTCTTGGTCGTAGAAATCTGTAAAAGACTAGGTATATGGCGGTTTTAATGACCATATTGGCGACAGGTTCGAAAGGTGACGTGACTAATAAATCAGATAGTGATTGGAAATGTTTGCTATGGAATGGGTAGTCTCTTAGATGGTTATGTTGTGTCGGTTTTGTGGATTCCTTTCAGTAAGGTTTAATTTGGTGGGTTCATAGGACTCCTGTTTTGTTATTCTGTTGTATCAGCATGTGATGTTGAATGCCCGTTAGGTAGAGTTTGATAGTGTTAGATGATAATGTAAGCTTAAGGTGGCAAAAGGAAGAAAACCCCAATAAAGACTCCATAACAACATGTCATGAATTTGAAAATTGACTATGAATTGGATGAAAAGTCCCATCGTAAGATTTCCTAGTGTTAATCGCGAGTGCTAGGTGGGCAAGATTCTGTGCGTGTAATAATAAAACATTTAACCCATTAACACGTCTCAAAATGGAGGGGTAGGAGTAGCCAGATTGGAAGCGTTGGTCAGAGTATCACGGAATGCCTGCAAGTGGAAACAAAGACAGGTGATCAGCCGATACCTTAGTGAGCCCTGGGATGTGAATATTAGCCTGAAAAACTTATAATTGGCTGCCACCCAAGTGAGTTTCCTCAAAAAAATTTTTTCAAAAATGATGCCGGTCTTTGTTCACAATGTGGCAGGCAGCTAGGTTGACTGAGAAGCATCAGACCGAGTGACCTGCCCAGCCAGGACCCCAGGCAATTGCTACCACCATTTAGGGACATATTAGCTGCGAAGCAAACAAGGCTTTTGCCTTGGGCGGCATTTTCCAGGGGGCGGCTAACAGTCCAGGCAGGCGGGCGGCTAGGTAAAAATCCATGCGGGCGGCGCTGGCGAGGGAGCACTTTCCCTTTAGCTCAGGGGGAAGTGTTCCCTCGCCAGCACCGCCCGCCCGACAGCCCAGCAGCCACTTGATCCCCAGAGAGAGAAAGAACCCCCCCCCCCTGCATTCCCAAAGGTAATGAGGCTGGGGGGTTGAATTAAAAAAAAAAAAAACACAAGTGAGTGTGTTAATGTGTGTGTGTTAGTGTGTGTGTGTTAGTGTGTGTGTGTGTGTGTTAGTGAGTGAGTGAACTTGCAGAATAATTGTAATTGGTTAACTCAAGACTAGGTACTGCAGCAACTAAAGAAAGTTAATATAAACAAAGCTCCAGGGCCTGACGGTATCCATCCACGTGTACTTAAGGAACTAAGTGTAGAAATAAGTGAACCTCTGTTTTTAATCTTTCAAGATTCTTTTCTTTCAAGAAGTGTTCCGGAGGATTGGAGGAAGGCAGATGTAGTTCCTATATTCAAAAAGGGTTAAAAAATCCTTGTCTGGAAATTATAGACCTGTGAGGTTAACTTCTGTGGCTCGTAAAATATTTGAAAGGTTATTAAGGGATAATATTCAAGAATTCCTTGAGAAGAACATGGTTATCAACAAAAATCAGCACGGTTTTATTAAGCACAGGTGATGTCAAACTAACTTGATTGCGTTCTACGAAGAAGTAAGTAGAAGTATAGATCAGGGTGTTGCCGTGGATGTGATCTATTTGGATTTTGCCAAGGCATTTGATACAGTTTCACACAATAGATAGTGTTCAAACTCATGGAAATCGGTCTAGATGAAAATGCTTGTTCTTGGGTAGAACATTGGCTTAAAAACAGAGTACAAAGAGTTGTCATTAATGGTAAATTTTCAATCTGGACAGAGGTGGCAAGTGGTGTCCCTCAGGGGTCTGTTCTGGGACCCCTTCTATTTAACATGTTTATAAATGATCTTGAAGACAGCATTGACAGTCATGTTTCAGAGTTTGCAGATGACACAAAACTTTGTAAAATAGTACAATGTGAGCAAGATATTACTTTGCTGCAGAGGGATTTAGATAGCCTGGGGACTCGGCACTCAAATGGCAGATGAAATTTAATGTTGAAAAATGCAAAGTTATGCACTTCGGCGTAAAGAATACACAAGCAACGTATACCCTTAATGGAAGCGAATTAGGCATAACAACACACGAAGAGGACTTGGGAATTGTTATAGACAACAAACTATGCAACAATGTGC